ATGGCTTTATGAAATTACCCAAGCAAATAATAATATTTTCTCAAGTCTTAAAAATAAAGAAATAAAACGATATGTGTCACTAAATGCTAATAGAGTATGAGGGATAATCAAAGGAATTATAAAGGAATTGTAAAAGGATAAGGGTAATTAAAAGGGTAAAGGTAATATCAACTTCGCTTTTGTTTTTGTTTATAGAATCTTGGTGGTGCGGCATGGTTTAATCTCGATGGGCAAGATGTAGGTACGTGTATGCTAGTTGGTTTTATGGTGTCGAAGTATATGTTAATCACGTCTCTTTTCTTTGTAGAGGTACCGTCACCGTTACGTGATCTTTGACGGTGTCGATCCAATCGCGAGATCGTCAAAGTCGGTTTTGATGCGGCTTTGTAAAGGATGGGTTGGTTGGTTCGGCGGCGGAAACTCTCTTTCTCTTTTTTGTCATTGTCTTGTCGTGATAGTGGTATCATTTCCATCGTCGGGGTGTGATCGTGATCATGACGGCATTCTGGCATTTAACCTTCGGGGCCGTCATCTTCTTTCTTATCATGGTGATAATATATACAGCATCCTTAGTTTCAAAGAGGTCGTGTAGGGACACGGCGTTTGGATGATCAACTTGCTTGAGGGCGTCAAGTTTGATGGATGCTTATTGCGGAGGTTGATTCACGGCGCGGGACCTTACGCTCCTTTTGCTCAGGTTTCGGATCGTTATTTCTTCGGGGTAGGAGGCGTGCGATCGTGATCGTGATCGTGATTATGATTATGACAGCATCCCAGTGTTCACATCGGAGCTATTATCTTCGCGAGGTGAGGTAAGCGTTCCATTTGTTTTGTCTGTGGTGTATGGTTACTTCTTTTTCTAACCATTCTTGTCTTCTTTCTTTTTTTTTTTCTTTTTCTTTCCGCGTCGGTGCCTTCTTCGCGGTCTTGTCCCGGTATTTCCAATCATCAGGGCGGTATATCTCTCGTCGGTCATGGTGTTGATTATTGCGGGGAGGGCTTGTCGGAGCGTTAGACTTTCCTTGCTACTCTGATGTCTTTGAGAATATATATGCATGCATATATATTCTAGGTGTGCTTATTTTTTGTAGACTTCTTATGATAAACTCTTTTCGATCGTGATCGTGATCACGATCATAATGGTATTTCGGCATTTCCAGTCGTCGGTCTTGGTCGTATTCTCTCGTCTTGGTGTAATTCCGGTAAGTCGCAGCGTTTTCTTTCTTTTGTGGCGTTCTACCATTGGCTTCTAACTTTTTCTTACCAGTCTTTCCCTAGCCCCATGCTTCACGTTCGATTCGCCATTCGCGGGTTCTCCTTGACCCTCGGCAATATCCATCGTCCCTGGCATGAGCTACCGGAGTCTCGTCGGTAAGTTTGGTTCTTTGCCTTTGGTTTCTTTGCTGTTCTTTTCTTTTTTTTTCTGGACGGTCCTTTCTTCCTTTAGGAACTCGTCCCTTAATTCTTTCGGTGCCGCGGCATTTCTTCGTGATTGTTGGTATCCCGGCATGACCCTCAGGACCGACGACTTGTTCCAGGTCAGTATTTTACTCTTTTTTTTTGTATGTCTGCCATTGTCGCATAGAGCATAATGCAGTACCATTTATCCTGTTTGCACCTTGCAGTCTCCCTCGCCATTCTCACGTGGCGGAGTTTCCTCACGAATTCTCCGTAGCCCGGCATTACCATCAGGATGGATATTCGTGACCGGTAAGTATATATATGTATATATATTTTTATCATCGCTATAATTTATTAATTTATTGTTTTGTTTTTTTTTTTTATCTAAAACGGCAAATGCTAATTCGCCGTTTCTTCTTTTTGCGCTAGGGGTGCGTCGATCTTCTCGCGATCGTATGGCATACCAGCCGTATCCTCGGGGCCGACGTCACTTAATTAGGCAAGTTTCTCCATTATCTTGAGTCGCGGAAAGGCTTCTCTCGGTGACACATAGTTTCTTTGGGAGTGGTGCAGCGTCGTTCATGTATTCATTATTTTTTCATTAATTTAATTTAATTTTAGGGGAGGCGCATATACCACCGATCCCGTGATCGTCGTTCTTTAGGCTTTGCTTTTCTTCTGCGCAAGCCATTCCGGAGCTTCTATCGTTGGATTTGGACTTCTTTTAGGTCAAGACGATTCTTCTTCCTCTATTCGGCATATACCAGCAGCCGAATTCTTCTTGGGCATCGTCGTTGGAGCGGAATTGGTCTTCATTTCTCCGATCGTCGCGGACACAACGTCGCTTTCGTCGCTCCTGTGAAGATCGAACTTCCTCGGGGGCAATTTCTCA